ATTTATTTATTTGACAGAGAGAGAGAGAGAGCACAAGCAGAGGGAATGGCAGAGGGAGAGGGAGAAGCAGGCTTTGCACTGAGAAGGGAGCCCAGTGCGGGGCTTGATCCCAGGATCCCGAGACCATGACCTGAGCTGAAGGCAGATGTTCAACCAACTGAACCACCCAGACACCCCCTCATCTACCCTCTTATCACACTCATTCATCCACATACCCAACAGACATGTTTGAGCCCTGGTTATATCTACTCCAGTCCTAATGGCCATCCTTGGAAAGACAAAGAGAAATGAGTGTCTGCTCTCAATGAGCTCTCATTGAGAAGGTGTCACCTCTTATCTTTCACTAGGGAAGACTGATTGTTAATTTTCACCCTTGCCCTCAGCTTATAAAAACTGCAGCAACAAACAGCAGCAAGTGCTATTTCCCAGGCACATAGCTGAGCTGCAACAGTGACTGAGACCAGAACTGTTGGATCTTCTGTACAAAAAGACTTGTTCCCTTGCCTGGGATTAGCTCTGCCGTTGTTTAACTTCATGCAGGTACCAAGTATTGATTGGGTGCTTCCTGTGTGTCTGGCTGTGTGTCCGGTGTTGTGCTGAATGCTGGGGATAGAGGGGCCAGAAGGAAACAGTCCCTATATTGAAGTCTATAGTCCCTACCTCAGTCCCTGGTGTATCAACGCATTTTTTTCCCCCAAGCCTCTTCTTCTGAGACTCATCAAAGCAGAGTTAATCACTTCCTCCCTCAGCCATTCAAGTCATCCTGCTGTCTAGTAAAACTTGTGATTTGAATGCATGAAAATATTGTCTCCCTTGTAGGGTATGATCCCCTTGAAGGTCTGCACCCTTTCCTGCTTGTCTGGCTTCCCCAGCAACTAGCCCACAGCCAGGGTCACATGAACAGCTCCTGTGTGTGGGATGAATGGTTGCGTGAACAAATGCTGCCCAGGCAGCAGATGGGGTAGAGAGGAGGAAGTAAGATCATTAGCAGTGTGGTCAAGATTTTGGTGCCTTGAAATCTGTCTTTACCTTGTACTAGCTGGGCAACTTGAGACAAATGACTCAACTTCTCTGTGTCTCAATTTTGCATCTGTAAAATGAGGATAATAGAAACTCCCCACCCGCATAGGACTGTTGTGAAGATTCAGTGAGCTAACAGACATAAAGTGTACAATGATATGTTAGTATTACCTCAGCTCTTTTGTTCTGCCACCAAAATGTTATTACCCCATGCCTGCTTCTCTTGTCCATGTCCCAAGCTTCCCAACCACTGGCTAAAATCCTCTAGCACTCTCAAATCATCCATCATAACAGAACTTTATGCTTAGAGCTCCGGGATTTCAGGGAAAACCAGTTGCTTTTGGAGGACAGTCTCTTCCTGAGAACCTGAGTATGCATGTGTGTTTCTACACTATAGAATTAAAAAAAATTCTGTTTTGAGAAAATCTGGTGGTGAGGTGGGCAATGTCCTTCAAAGACAGAGAAGTGAGACAGATTTCACGTAGTAAGAGGAAGGGCAGAAACTCTAGGGAAAATCCATTCGGGCCTCAAGGGTAAGGGTGGGGTGGAAATGGACTGAAAAATACGAGGGTTTCCACCCACCAGATTTCTGTTCTCTTTCCATGGAAAAGAAACATGGGAGACAGACCCAAGATTATTCAGTTCTACTTAGCTCAGGCAAATCAGACCTGAATTAAAACAGCTTCTGTCCTTGTTTCTCCACTAACAACCCCCCCCCCAAGTATGTGACAGATCAGATGCAGCCCCTCCTGCCCCACCGCCCTGCCAGTATCTCCTTCAGTCAGCACCTCTAGGCTCAGGGACAGAGCAGAAACTTATTGAGTGAGGGATGCCAGCAGTAGGAAAGGCTGGCTGCCCTCCAAACTTCCCCAGATCCTCTCCCTCTGAACACCCTTGGGATGCCAGATGGACAGAGCTGGATGTGACTGACTCATGGTCCACTGGGCTGAGGAGATTAGGGAACTTGGGTGTCCACTCCTTCCTTGCTTATATTATCTCCCTCAGTTGCGGTCCTTTTTCTGGAAGTGTCACACCATGATTCACTGAAATGGAAAGGGTCTGTGAATTTTAGTTCCTGGCTGGAGCCTCCCTGCTCTCATCTGTAAAATGGATGGGTTGAGTTAAAGACATATTCTGTTCTACACTTTTATGGTTTAAGTTATCTTTGCTAAAGGTGAGATGTCTTACCTTGTCTGGCTTTTCTCTGAAGTGTCATGGAAGTATGTTGGGCAGCTTGAAAGAAGAAATGAAGGCTTATTTGTCCAATATTCTTGTCTTGTGTACTCTCACCCACCAAGGGTGGAACCCAAGCCCGAGGAAAGGAAGCAATGGAAGGGTCAGGATTCAGGGCACCTTTGAAGGCTGGGGTCCTCTCTGGTGCTCCCACTGCCTGTGAGCTCTTAGTCTCACAGACATCTTCTGACTTGAGTCCTTTCTGGTTTGTCTTTTATTCTCTTCAGAATCTGTGTCACTTCTCCTTTCTCTTTATTGGGTTTCTCTGTCACCATTTCCTTCTCCCTCAAATTTTCTTCATCTCCAAGAATTCCAGGGCTTTTCTCCAGCCATATTGCATCTGAGGTCTTTTCAGGGCTCCTTATACCCACGTGACATTGCTGCCCACCTTCCTCATTCTCAGATCCTCTCCCACTACTCTGGCACAGCCGACTCGAGGGTTGCTGGCAGCCTCTATTGTCAGAACTGGGGACTTCCTCATTTCTTACCTCACTTGACATCTGGCAGCTTGTGATGCTATTTACACTCAAGACAGCCCTTCCATGATGCCCTTTATTTTTCCTCCTGGCTTCTTTCTCCCTCTTTGGGGACGCCTTTCTTCTCAATATTCTTTGGCTCCTGCTCTGCTGCCAACACTGGCTTTCTCCCCCTCCTCTGCCTATCTTTCTCTTCCTTCTTTACACTCCCATCAGGATCTCATCCAACACTTCTGATGGATCTAAAACTCATCTCCAACCCAGACTTTTCTCCTGAGATCTAGTCCCATTCATTCAACCCTCTTCTAGGACATCTCCTCTTGGAAGGTCTTCAGTCCCCTCTTACATAACACAATAATCATCACAGCATAGCATTGATAATAGCCAATAACTGAAGCTCTTACACATTCTTCTCAGCATTTCACACTTACTAACTCAACCTTCCCAGCAACAATAGGAGGTGTGTACTATTTTTTGAAGATTTTATTTTTAAATAATCTTTTTTGTGTGTGAATCTGAGGGTTAATATTTATTTATTTATTTATTTATTTATTCAGTTTATTCAGTTAGCCACTGTATAGTACATCATTAGTTTTTCATGTAGTCTCTACACCAACGTGGGGCTCGAACTCACAACCCCAAGATCCGGAGTCATGTGCTCCACTGACTAAGCCAGGCGCCCAGGGACATGTGTACTTTTATTATCACTCCATTTTGTGGATGAGGAAACTGGAACCTAGAGAGGTTGAAAGAATCCAAGCTCTTAAACACTAAATTTTGGTTTTCTAAAAACCAAAGTTGTCCTGGCCCACTGCCCCTCCATCACCACAGTCCTCCCCTTAGGGACCAGTCAGCCTCCAGTGCATCCCCCCCCAACACTAGCTCACCCTACAGGGCCCCATTACCTCCTTCCTAACTGATTTGTCTCCAGCTAGTTTCCACTGAAACCTGATCCATACAGCCCCTCTCTCTAGCTTCCTAAAATGTAAATTTGAAGATCTCAGTCTTCCTAATTTAATTCAATTCTTCCCTCTACCCTCAGGATAAAATAAACATGGCTTAGGGGCTTTCCAGACCCGGGGCCTGCTTCCCCGTCCCCACTCCTCCATGGTATTGATCTCATTTCTTGCCACTTCCTACCTCCCACTCTCTGGTTTCTCATCACAGGTTTCCCAAGAGGCTCTCCACTGTTATGCCCCTTCTATATTTGGTTATTCCTTCTGAAACACACTCCCTCATAGTCAGTTGCCTTCAAGACTCAGCTCAAGTGCCCATCCAGGAAGACTTTCCGGAAATCTACACCTTCTAATTTGGGTAAGCTACTCTGTGGTCAGTAGGCTTCTCATTTCATAACAACATCTTGCTGTTTGCACATCTGCCCTCTCTATTGATCCCAGGGCTTGTGTTTGTGTTTCATCTCTTTGTTAATAGAGAGCTACGCTGCGCCTGGGTGGCTCAGTCATTAAACATTTGCCTTCAGCTCAGGTCATGCATGATCCCAGGGTCCTGGGATCGAGCCCTGCATCAGGCTCCCTGCTCAGCAGGAAGCCTTCTTCTCCCTCTCCTAATCCTCCTGCTTGTGTTCCCTCTCGCTATGTCTCTCTCTGTCAAATAAATAAATAAAATCTTAAAAAAAAATAGAGAGGTACATAATCAGCCTCAAATTAGCATGTTGAGTAAATGACTGAATACTCACTCTGTTCTCATAAGGCCTGGATGCTTGACTCCTAGCCCAGAGGTTTCCAGGTCTGAAGTGGAGGGTTCTCATCAGGGTCTTCATTAGGGCCCTAATTTTACCCTGGTATCTGCTGGTTTTCCCTCCCCAGGTGAACTGAAGTTTCAAGGTCAAGAGGAAACTTCTGCCAGTACAACTAGAGAAACTTGGAGAGGTGGTGCAGGGCAGGGGATTTGTTATCCACCTAAACCTAGTTTGGTAAGGCAAGAGAAGCAAGCCAAGACATCTCTGATTAGAAAGACTCCCGGAGGGGTGCCTGGGTGGCTCAGTTGGTTAAGCGTCTGCCTTTGGCTCAGGTAATGATTCCGGGTCCTGGGATCAGGCCCTGCATTGGGCTTCCTGCTCAGCAGGGAGCCTGCTTCTCCCTCTCCCACTCCCCCTGCTTGTGTTCTCTCTCCAGTAAATAAATAAAATCTTAAAAAGAAAAAAAGAAAGACTCTGGGACACAGCATGTGTGGGCTGCCTTAACCCTTTTTTTCTGTTTAATTTAGTTCTATTCTCCGCCCTCCACCTCTTGAGTCATGCTGACAACTTCCCTCCCTGCTTCTGGCCTCCTGACCACCTCTCTGCTCACTTGCTCCCTCTGCACCCTGGTTCAGCTGTTCCCTCCGTGGCTGAGGAGCTCAGAAGCCCATGTCTGACCTTCCAGTCATGACCAGGACCAGAACATCCCTCCTCCTGTTGATGGGTAAGTCACGGGCCCCAGTGAAGGGATATGAGAAGATTGGGGTCCAGGTAGAGAGAGAGAGCTGAGACTGTACATGTTTTAGACCCAGATATTAAGAGGGGGATCTGGAATTACATAGGGTTTGGGATCCAGAGTTTTTGGAGGGAGAGTATATTGAAGAACTAATTTTAGGGGAGTTCAAGAGATGTTAGAAAAGGAGCCAGTTGCCTGAACAATCCAGAGATTTCCCAAGTAGACAGAACAAGTCAAACTTGTGCTCTATTCACAGTGTCACTTTGGCCCAATTTTCCTGGATTCTTCTTCCTGGAAGCCCCCAGTAGTAAGGGTGGCAAAGGAGTGTCTTTAGAGCTTATGTGTTGCTCTGTGAAAATGGAGAATTGAAACTTGCAAGCAGGTCAGTGGGCGAAGAGCTGTCTCTGGACTGCCTGCAGGAGAGAAGCAGGGCTGAGGGAGGCCTGAGCCTGGGAGTTCAGAAGTCCAGGAGATGCTGGGTCACTGGGCCTATAGGGGAGAGCAGGCGTTGGGGAGATGGAACAGGAGGAAGACCCTTCTCCAGAGTTTCTTTTCTTACCTCCTTCCCCAGCCTTGGCTTCTTCTCTCTGCTTCAACTTGGACACAGACCAGCCAAAAACCTTCCTTATGGACAGTGCTGGATTTGGACACAGCGTGGTCCAGTATGGCAATACCTGGTAAAGACTGTGTGGTGACTGGCCTTTGGTTCTCATCAACTCCTCTCCATGCACAGGGTCCTGTCCTTCCCCAGGACCCTCTTAATCTCTGTCTGGTGTGGCAATTCCCCCAGTGCTATGAAGAGTTGGATTGAAAGCAGGTGCTGGCATACCATCTTGATAATCACAGCTAATATTTATCAGGCACTTACTAAGTGCCCAGCGCTGTGCCAAGCACCCTTTATGTGGGCACTGATCTATTTTATTTTATTTTAAATTCCAGTATAGTTAACATACAGTGTTATATTAGTTTCAGGTGTACAATATAGTGATTCAACAATTCCATACATCACCTGGTGCTCATTATGACAAATGCACTCTTTAATCCCCATCACTTATTTTACCCATCCCCCTATGCCCCTCTCCTCTGGTAACCATTGGTTTGTTCTCTATAATTAAGAATCTGTTTCTTGGTTTGTCTCTCTTTCCCTTTGTTTGTTTGCTTTGTTTCTTAAATTCCACATATAAGTGAAATCATATGGTATTTGTCTTTCTCTGACTGACCTATTTCACTCAGCATAATATTCTCTAGCTCCATCTATGTCATTGCAAATGGCAAGATTTCATTCTTTATGTGGCTGAATAATATCTTTATATATACCTATCTCTAAATACCACATCTTCTTTATCCATTCATCAGTTGGTGGACACTTTGGCTGCTTTCATCTCTTGGCTATTGTAAATAATATTGCTATAAACACCAGGGTGCATGTATCCCTTCAAATTAGTATTTTTGTATTATTTGGGTAAATACCCAGTAGTACAATTGCTAGATCATAGGGTATTTCTAACTTTTTGAGGAACATCCATACTCTTTTCCACAGTGGCCACACCAGTTTGCATTCCCACCAACTGTGCACAAGGGTTCCTTTTTCTCCACGTCCTCATAAACAGCTGTTGTTTCTTGTGTTGATTTTAGCCATTCTGACTGATGTGAGGTGATATCTCATTGTAGTTTTGATTTGCATTTTTAGGTGAGCATTGGTTTAGTCCTCACAATAACCTTATGAGGTACATAGGTATCAACCATTCAGCAAATATTTATTGAGCACCAACTACTAAATGTTTCAGGAGCCAGGCATACACCAGAGAACAAAAGAGACAAAAATCCCTCCCATGTGGAACTTACATTGTTATTAATCTCCACTTTGTAGATGGGATAACTGAGGCTTAGAGAAGTGAAGCAGACTTGTCAAGGGGCAGTCTGGCTCTGCTGTCTACATTTTTAATTGCAGTGTTCTTTGTCTCCCTCTAGGGTGGTGGTTGGAGCTCCCCAGGAGATAAAGGCTGCCAACCAAACAGGCGGCCTCTACCAGTGTGACTACAGCATGGGCAAGTGTGAGCCCATCCACTTGCAGAGTGAGTCACTGCCTGTCCTTGGGACCCAGATCCAGACTCCCAAGCTCTAGGGAACTTTGGGGAGCACAGAAGACCCATTTCCCAGCTTCAGCTCTGTCTGAGACCCTTAACCTTAGACAGGCTTCTTGACCCCCTCATGGCCTCCCTGCCCATCACACCCCTCTACCCCCATGGCTCCATCAAGACCTGAAAGCCCTTCCCTGGTCAGATTTCCTTGTCTTGGGGTGACCCCTGCCCATACAGCTTCCTCTGTCCTAAGGGTAACCATGCACCTATCTGTCCCCTCAGTTCCCCCAGAAGCTGTGAACATGTCCCTGGGACTGACCCTGGCAGCCTCCACTAACCCCTCTCAGTTGCTGGTGAGTTGCCTTGGGTTGTGGAGCTGTCCTGAGGGAAGGAGTGGGAACCTGCGGCTGGTGGGGCTAGGGGTCTTGGGGAGGGTGAAGGTACTGGTATAGGAGGATGGGATGGAAGCAGGAGCAGCCCCTCCCATCAGGCGCCTCTGTCCCTAGGCCTGTGGCCCCACAGTGCACCATACATGCCAGGAGAACATGTACTTGACTGGGTTCTGCTTCCTGCTGGGCTCCTCTTCCTGGCAAACCCAGAGGCTCCCAGCTGCCCTGCAGGGTGAGTGTTGGGGGCTGTTGGCTTCTTTGTGGAGCACACACACTTGTGACTGGGAGTGCAGTGGGGTCAGAAATACTTTTTCCAGAGTGGCTAAAAAAAGAGAAATCTGGAAAAAAATATTCCTGGATGGGATAGTGGTACCAAATGTGGGCTGGGAAGTCACTGCCTGATTTTACACCTTGCCCTGTCTCTGTCCCACTTTCCTATGACCTTACCCTTTTGGAGCCTCTGTTTCTTCATCTGTCAGATGGGGATAATGACACACCCAACCCTGAGAGTGACATAAGATGATCCATGGCCAGGGTTTAGCACAGTGCATGGCACGTGGTGATGGCTCAATTAATGCTAGCTGCTATTATTTTTAGGGAGAAGGGGATTTATTTTGACCCAATACACCCTGGGGTATAACCAATTGGTTTGTAGGAATGGGTGATGAGGGTGCAGACAGTCTGAGTGGTATGTGTGGTGTGTGCGTATGGATGTATATATCTATGCATATGCATATATATGTGCATGCATGTGTCTGCATGTATACTTGCATGCAAGTGTATACATGAATATGTGTGTATATAAGCATGCATCTGTATATGTGTGTATGTATGTATATGTGTGTATGCATGTATGAATGTATGTGTGCACACATGTATACATATGTATATGTGCATATATGCACACATGCATATGCACATATGTATATATGTACGTGTGTGTGCGCACGTGCGCGCAGGTTGAGGCATAAGGGCCTGGCTTCCCTAGTGTTGATAAGGATGGGAGATAAGGAGGTAAGAACAGTGAGCTTTTTAGACCCAGCCATGGCAGACCTAGGCCCCTCCCTGGTTTCACATTTACTGGTAGAACCTCTGGAACAGAAAGGGGAAGCTGGGAGGTCTCCTCTTGGAGATTTGGGAGAGCTTCCTTTTTTTTAACCAATTCTGAATTCACTCAGGAGGGGCCTAGTGGCCCATATTTAAGCTGAGAACAGAATAGGGCCAGTGTGTGGTTGTTGCCAGGGGTGACATTAAAAATATTTAACAAAAGTACAGTTTGGCACTGACTAATGAGGACAGACTCTGGCCAGGGACTGAAGCAGTCCCCTTTCATTGCTAGATCATGGAAATGTGGGGGAAGAGGTAGAGTAGGGCTTGGGAAAGGGACACAGACAGCCAAGGTAGCAAGAGGGGCCCCCAGCTTCTTACCATCTGAATTGTCTGAAAAAACCTTCACTTTTTTATAAGCCAGGCTGGCTACACAGATGTGAGCGGCTGTGTCACAAAGGTAGCCTCTTTAAGGACTTTAGGAGGCCAAAGGGCCCTGTTTTAGGCAGGGATTGGGGAAACCCCTGGGTCAGGGGGCAGTGAATTCTCATGGCCAGGAGGCTGGGGTCCTAGGCTCTGGGAGTGTTCCTTGGAGGACTGGTGCCACCTCTTTTCCCAGAATGTCCAAAGCAAGAGCAAGATATTGTGTTCCTGATCGACGGCTCAAGCAGCATCTCCTTCCGTGATTTTAGAAAGATGCTGAATTTTGTGGAGGCTGTGATGAGACAGTTCCAGAGACCTAGCACCCAGGTGTGCCTTTGGGGGAGGGAAGGCAAGTGTGCAGGGCCCCTGTGGGAGGTTTGTGGGTGCAGTGCCCAGGGTTCTGGTCAAGTGGCCTTGGCTCCCAGCCCTCTGCAATTCTCCCAGTTCTCCCTGATGCAGTTTTCCAACGCTTTCCGGGTGCACTTCACTTTCAAAGACTTCACATACAGCTCAAACCCACTCGTCCTGTTGGATTCTGTACGCCAGCTGGGAGGGTATACTCACACAGCCACAGCCATCCAAATAGTCACGTGAGTCCTGACTTCTTTTAGGTCCTTCCCTAAAGCATCTGGGTCTTCCTTTAGGCCTCATCTGTCTCCATGAGAGAGGGACAGGTTGGGACTAAGATTCAGTCTGTGGGGGCCTATGGGTGGGGCCAGGGCCTCCAAGAGAAAGGGGCAGCTCCTTCTTCTCAAAAGGCATCAAGGGCTAGCAGCAGGTCTGTTCATAGGTCTCTGGATCCTATTCTCTGACAGAAACGAACTGTTCAGTACCTCAGGAGGGGCCCGAAAAGATGCCTCCAAGATCCTCATTGTCATCACCGATGGGCAAAAACAAGGCGACCGCCTGGGTTATGAGGATGTCATCCCTATGGCTGAGGCTGCGGGTATCATCCGTTATGCAGTTGGGGTAGGATGTGGACATGCCCTACCACCACTTCCTCCCCTTGCTTCCTCTTAAGGCAACTTCCCTTTCTAGGACAAAACCCCCAGATCTCTCAGGTTCTACTACCTTCAGGATGAAAGTTGTGTTCCAGTCTGGGGACCCTGATCCTTTTCCCTAAACTCCTTGATGCTGTCTGAGCTTCATTTTTCTTATCTGTACACTGAGTGTAATAATATTGACCTTCTGGAGGATATCAGCATCTAACATGTGCTAGGCATATTAGATTTATGATTGTTTTCACTGAGTTGGTCTTCACTGGGGACAGGTGGGATCGGCTTTTCAAAAGAAACATTCCTGGAAAGAATTAAATGACATTGCATCGAAGCCCTCCCATGAGTACATTTTTAAAGTGGAGAATTTTGATGCTTTGAGAGACATTCAAAACCAACTGAAAGAGAAGATCTTTGCCATTGAGGGTAAGTTACAGATGAAAGTACTCCCTTCAGAAACCCTCACCCATAAATGCTTTCCCTTCTTGAATCTGGCCCCCATGCCACGGGCACCAACACATCCCTTTCGGTATTAATCTCCAACATTAGATCCTCTAAAGCTGAGGTGTCCGTCTCAGACTTGGCAAAGCCTATCTTTCCCTCTGGAACCCAGGTGTCATGCCCTCCCCCAGGTACGCAGACGATAAGCAGTATTTCCTTTGAATTGGAGATGTCCCAGGAGGGCTTCAGCGCTGTGTTCATACCTGTGAGTGGGGTCCCTTTCAGGCCATTGATGTAGGAGAAGGGAGGAGTGGGAGGAGGGAAGGTAAGGAAAGGTGTTAGATAAGTGAATGGAGGAAGAGAATTCCAAATAATGAGCAGAGTTGGTGGCAGGAATTGCTTTGGAATAGGCTGTCTTCTTTTGGCTCAGGCCTGCTCAGCCCTGGAATCCTTTCCTCCCAGGATGGACCAGTTCTGGGGGCTGTGGGGAGCTTCAGCTGGTCTGGAGGTGCCTTCCTGTACCCCCCAAATATGAGCCCCACTTTCATCAACATGTCTCAAGAGAATGTGGACATGAGGGACTCTTACCTGGGTGAGAAAAGGCTGAGTCTGGGGGCACAGGTGGGAGATGAGCTGCCTGGGAAGGGCAGGAGCTCAGGGGTGGGGAGGAAGCTTTGTGCTGAGGCCTGCCCTCCTCAGGTTACTCCACTGAGTTGGCTCTTTGGAAGGGGGTCCAGAGCCTGATCCTGGGGGCCCCCCGCCATCAACATACTGGGAAGGTTGTCATCTTCACCCAGGCGTCTGGGCAATGGAGGCCGAAGGCTGAAGTCGCAGGGACTCAGGTTGGGTGTTGAGGAAGCCAGAGTGGAACATGAGGGTGGCAGGGTCTCCGGGGCCAGAGGGGGAGGAGATGAAAGGGTTTGGGAGCCTATGGGGGGAAGGTCCTGGTGGCTGGGGAGAAGTGGGTCCTGTCCCAGAAGGGGGTGCCTCTGGCAGGGGCCTGCAGGATGACTTTAGGCTCTGCCCTGCAGATTGGCTCCTACTTTGGGGCCTCCCTCTGCACTGTGGATGTGGATAGAGATGGCAGCTCTGACCTTGTCCTCATAGGGGCTCCCCATTACTACAAGCCGACCCAGGGGGGCCAGGTGTCTGTGTGCCCCTTGCCCCAGGGGGTGAGTGTCTGATGAGAGCTGGGCTGGGTGAGGACTGGGTGTGGGGTGGAGGGGTTGCCTGGGTTGGGACCTGACACTGGTTTTGTTCCGCAGAGGGCTAAGTGGCAGTGTGAGGTCATTCTCTGTGGGGAGCAGGGCCACCCCTGGGGCCGCTTTGGGGCAGCCCTGACAGTGCTGGGGGATGTGAATGGGGACAAGCTGACAGACGTGGCCATTGGGGCCCCAGGAGAGCAGGAGAGCCGGGGTGCTGTCTACCTATTTCATGGAACCTCAGGACTGGGCATCAGCACCTCCCACAGTCAGGTGAGGCCTGGTCACAGGTCTGGTTGTTACAACTTCTTCCTTGCTTCTCCCTGTTTTCTATTCTGCCACCTAGAAAATTCTCCTTTACCTCATCTTACTTCCTTTGCCCAGCACTGACACCTTGTAGGCAGCAAGCAAAATCTGTGGAATTTTAGAAATGAACACATTGGTATGTTCTCTGCTTTGTATGAGGACTTGATTCTTGAGTGACGTCTCCACTTAGGCCTTTTAATCCCCCAGTGGCTTTACAAGGTACAAAGGCCAGGCATTAACAGACCCACTTTAGAAATGAAATCTGGGGCATGGAGAATATCAGTGATTTGACTTGTCCAAGGTTTATAGTGGATCAGGAATGGTGATGAGGTAGGTTCCAATCTCCTGACTTCTGACCCAGTTCTTGGTCTCTTGGTGGCTCCCTGTTGCCAGTTTAGGTCTGGCTGCCTCAGTCTGCCTGTCTACTCACCCCTTCTTCTCCCTGGATGCTATATGACCATTCACTCATGCTATCAGCAGTCCTGCCAAATGTCTGTCTCAATGGGGAAAGTTCCCTGAAAAGGGAGGGCTTCTTCCCTTGGCAAAATTTAAAGAAAGCCCCAATTAAAAAATTGGTAGAGGATCTGAATAGACATTTCTCCAAAGATGATATACAAAGGACTAACACACACATGAAAAGATGCTAAATATCATTAATCATCAGTCATCAGCAAATCAAAACCACAATGAGACACCATTTCACACCCACTGGGATGGCTAGAAAAAGATAATAACAAGTGTTGGTGAGAATGTGGAAAATTTGGTACCCTCAAACTCTGCTGGTGGAAATATAAAATGCTGCAGCTACTTTGGAACACATCTGGCAGTTTCTCAAAAGGTTATATGTAGAGTTACTGTATGACCAGCAATTGTATACTGTATGACCCAAGAGAATTGAAAACATATGTCCACACAAAAATTTATACATGAATGTTCACTGTAGCATTACTGATGATATCTAAAAGGTGGAAACAATCCAAATGTCCATTAACTGATGAACACATAAATTCCATTGTAAATAAATATGCATACAATGGAATATTATTTGGCCGTGAAAGGAATGAAGAACTAGTATTTGCTATAACATGAATGAACCCTGAAAACATTATGCTAAGTAAAAGAAGCCAGAAACAAAAGGGCACATATTGTATGATTCTATTTATATGAAATGTAAATAGGTAAATCCATAGAGACAGAAAGTATATAAGGGGTAGTCAGGTGCTGGTGGTGGAGGAAAATGAGGGACATGGGGGTGAGTGATAAGGGGTATGGATTTTTTTGGCGGGTGATGAAAATGTTCTAAAATTGATTTGGTGATAGTGGCATAACTCTGAGAACATCTTAAAACCATTGAGTTGTATAGTTTAAAAGAGTAAATGGTATGGTATATGAATTATATCTGAAAAAGTTGTTAGAAAGAAATGTCAAAGAAGATCCCTGCAGTACTGTTACTTCCTAGCTATAGGATCTTAGTCGTTACACACCTATCTGTGCTCAGTTTCCTCATCTATAAAATGGTGATAGTAAGAGAACCAACCTCACTGGGCTGCTGCTCTGAGGATTAAATGAGTTAGTACATATAGAGTATATACATAGTATAATACAGTTTAACAATTGAAGGGGTTCTAAAGAACTTGGAACTTTAAGAAGAGAATGAAAAGCTTTGTTGACAACAACACCTGATGTCAAGAAACTGCATTCATTCCACACCAACGGGTTTAACTTCCCCTTGCTGCAGCAGTTTAGAGGCATAGCTATGAACACCCTCAATTGCAAATATCACTTGAGTTATACCTGAAAGGCTTGACTCTAAGAGGAGGCCTTTCCAGATTTGCTGGTCCAACATGATTTTCTTCCTTCCCACTATGATGTATCCCACCACATTACTTGACTGGGAAGGACTTGCTTGTTCCCACTGGGCCCACACACCAACCTGAGGATATGGCAGTGATATCAGTTTTCTTGAGCATGAGACTACTTGACTGGGTTTGTGCTATCTCTACCTACCTCTTCTTTTCCAGATGTCCTTAGATTTCTCTTTTATTTTATTATTACTATGCTTAATGTCTGCCAGTCCAGCAGCGCCTAGAGATTTTAAAGAGCACATTCTCCAAGGGGTTGGCCATTATAGGAGCAATGGAAATAAAAGAGAAGGAACCCACAGGGGAGGCAAGGTTCCAGAGCATAGAATTTTCTTATGGGTACAGCCACTCCCCATCCCAAATTTTTCCTTCTTTGTCCTCTGAAGAGATAGGGTGGCCCTGGGAAGCAAAAAGGGGCCTTGGGCATGGGGTCAGAGGATCTGACTTCAGGTCTGGAGTTGGCCTCTTAAAGGCTGTGTGGCCTAGGCACTGTCTGCAAAATGGGAAGTGGGGCTAGATGAGCTCTAAGGTCCCTTCTAGCTCTAATACTCATCATAATCAGTGACTAGTGACTTTTGCTGTTCAAAGAACTATATGCATTAATTCATTTACTACTCACAGCTAAACTCTAAGATATTATTATCTGCATGTGAAAGATGAGGAAACTGAGGCACAGTAAGATTGGATCCTGGCCCAAGGCCTCATTGCTCATGAGCAGAGCCAGAATTGGACCTGAGACTAAATAGATGAATGAATAAATGAGACACAGGTCACCAGACCAAACTTTCAATCACCACTTCTTCATTTATGTCTTGGGGATTTTTTCTCTGGTCATCATTTCCCCACCCCACCTCCTCTTTTTAGGCACTTCTGGTGACATCTTTTCACTACTGACCTCTTCTTTCTGTCTCCCACATTCCTACATCACTGTTCCTTTTGTTGCTGATTTCCACCTTGTTTCCATCACCCTCAACCTGACTTGCCTTTCCCTCTCTGTCCAGAGGATCTCAGCCTACCAGCTCTCCCCCAGCCTCCAGTATTTTGGGCAGTCACTGAGTGGGGGTCAGGACCTTACCCTGGATGGACTGGTGGACCTGGCCGTGGGGGCCCATGGGCAGGTGCTGCTGCTCAGGTGAGAAAGTCCTCCTCAGACACTTCTAGATCATTCTAAGTCTGCCTAGGATTTCAGCCTCCCCAACCCCATCCCAGTTCACCCTCCTGGGACCAAGGACCTGCCCTCAACTCAGTGTTCTGCCCTTAGGACCAGACCTGTACTCAGGGTGTGGATGAGCATCCAATTCAAACCTGCAGAGATAGCCAAGTCTCTGTTTGAGTGTCGGGAGGAGACCTCCTCTGTCAATGCACTGGGCGATGCCAATGTCTGTCTTCATATTTATGAAAGTCCCAAGAATCGGCTGGGTGAGTCCTCGCCTCTCTGACCCAAGATACCCTGACCCTTAGAGTCCCTTAGCTCAGGACTCCTATCTCCTGCCTTGACCCTTGTGCACCTGGGGAGTTTCTAGCTCTCTCAGCCCTCCTTATCACCTCCTTTCCCCTACAGGTGACCTCCAAAGCTCTGTGACCTATGACCTGACCCTCGACCCAGGCCGCCAGAGTCCTCGTGCCATCTTTGAGGAGACAAAGACCTGGAATCTGACTCGTGTCCGAGTCCTTGGGCTGAGACAGCACTGTGAGACTGTGAAGTTGCTTCTCCTGGTAAGGGGACCTCGGAGTCATGGGGATGGCAGAGATCCAGAGGCTGGCAATGAGCTGGGCAGGGAAGGAAGAGGGTGTGTTCTGATTCTCACTGTGGCTTAGCCCTACCACAGGGCCTGGCATGCAGGAGGTGCATAACACTGGTTAGCTGATGAAGTAAGTGAGTGAGCAAATGAATAAATGGATGGATCACTGGCAACGGCTGAGGCTACACAGTTGGATTTTAGGAGAGTACCACTGCTTCAGAGAACTATGGGGTGATGCACTGGGATTCTTTTAGGAGCTGCTTCTCTGAGACAGGCCCTGTCTTAGGCACTGGGGATGCAACAGTGGACAAAACAGTCATGCCCACAGGAAACTCTGAGAGAAGGCCAAAAACAATCAAGTTCCTAGATAATAGATGTCAGGTAGTGATGAATGCTATGAAAAAAAAAAGTCAGGGAGGAGAATAGAGAAGGTGTTGGGAGACCTCTTGGATCAGGTAAAGTTTGGGAAGATCCTGAATAGAATGAGTGAGCCACGTGGGATGCTGTGGGAGGGAATTCAAGGCAGAAATCAGGCAAAGCAGAGGTTCTAAATGGTGGAATTGTAGCAGTTGAGCACAGCTGGGTATCCTTATTACCCCATTTTACAGATGAGGGAACAGGACGTAGCTAGTGACTGTGAAGATGCATTTCTTTGCCACTGCTGTCTTCAATGTCCATTCTTTAGGCCTGTGTGGAGGACTCAGTGACCCCCATCACCTTGCGTCTCAACTTCTCCCTAGTGGGCAAGCCTATCCCTTCCTTTGGAAGCCTCCGGCCTATGTTGGCTGTGGATGCTCAGAGATACTACACAGCCTCTGTAAGTCCTGGTATTGGAATCTTCCAGAAGGGAGTGGAGGGTGTAGACTCCAGATCTTGGGGAAAACCCTGCTTTGCCTTCCCTCTCAGCTCCCCTTTGAGAAGAATTGTGGAACTGACCATGTCTGCCAGGATGACCTTGGCATCTCCTTTGGCTTCTCAGGGTGAGCTACCACTCCGTTAGACCTGCCCTGGTTCCCCGGCTCCTCTTCTGGAATCTGGAGCTCTTGCTCTGGCTTTCCCCAACGTTTCTAGCCTGTGCTCAGAAAAACATTCTGTCCCCTATTTCTTCCCTACCTCCCCACTCTGTGTTTCATCCTCAGACCCTTTCTAGCCCCAGTCCCAGAATCATCTCCTGCCCTCTACTCCAACACCTAGCTTGAAGACGCTGTTGGTGGGGAGTACCCTGGAGATGAATATGAAAGTGATGGTGTGGAATGACGGTGAGGACTCCTATGGAACCACAGTCACCTTCTTCTACCCACCAGGGCTGTCTTATCGACGTGTGGCAGTGAGCAAGGTATTTCTTTTTGTTTTGTTTTGTTTTGTTTTTTTTAATTTAATTTTATTATGTTACATTAGTCACCATATAATACATCATTAGCTTTTGATGTAGTGATCCATAATTCATTGTTTTTGTATAACACCCAGTACTCCATGCAGTATGTGCCCTCCTTAATACCCATCACGAGGCTAACCCATCCCCCCACCCCACCCCCAAACCCTCAGTTTGTTTCTCAGAGTCCATAGTCTCTCATGGTTCATCTCTCCCTCCAATTCCCCCCCCCTTCATTTTCCCTTCCTTCTCCTAATGTCCTCCATGCTATTCCTTATGTTCCACAAATAAGTGAAACCATATAATAATTGACTTTCTCTGCTTGACTTATTTCACTTAGCATAATCTCCTCCAGTCCCATCCATGTTGATGTAAAAGTTAGGTATTCATCCTTTCTGATGGCTGAGTAATATTCCATTGTATATATGGACCACATCTTCTTTATCTATTCATCTGTTGAAGGGCATCTCAGCTTCTTTCCACAATTTGGCTATTGTGGACATTGCTGCTATGAACACTGGGGTGCATATGGGCCTTCTTTTCACTACATCTGTGTTTTTGGGGTAAATACCCAGTAGTGCAATTGCTGGGTCATAGGGTAGCTCTATTTTTAACTTTTTGAGGCACCTCCACACTGTTTTCCAAAGTGGCTGTACCAACTTGCATTCCCACCAACAGTGTAAGAGGGTTCTCCTTTCTGCACAACCTCTCCAACATTTGTTGTTTCTTCCCTTGTCAATTTTTGCCATTCTAACTAGTGTAAGGTGGTATCTCAATGTGGTTTTGATTTGAATTTCCCTCATGGCTAGTGGTGATGAACATTTTTTTCACGTGTCTGTTAGTCATTTGTATGTCTTCTTCGGAGAAGTGTATGTTCATGTCTTCTGCCCATTTTTTAACTTGATTATTTGTTTTTCGGGTGTTGAGTTTGAGAATTTCTTTATAGATCTTGGATACCAGCACTTTGTCTGTAGTGTCATTTGCAAATATCTTCTCCCATTCTGTGGATTGCCTCTTTGTTTTGTTTCCCTTGCTGTGCAGAAGCTTTTTATCTTAATGAAGTCCCAAAAGTTCATTTTTGCTTTTGTTTCACTAGCCTTAGGAGATGTATCTTGAAAGAAGTTGCTGTGGCTGATGTTGGAAGAGGTTACTGCCTATGTTCTCCTCTAGGATTTTGATGGATTCCTGTCTCACATTGAGGTCTTTCATCCACTTTGAGTTTATCTTTGTGTATGGTGTTAGACAATGGTTGAGTTTCATCCTTCTGTATGTGGCTGTCCAATTTTCCCAGCACCATTTATTGAAGAGACTGCCTTTTTTCCATTGCATATTTTTTCCTGCTTTGTGGAAGATTATTTGACCATAGACTTGAGAGTCCATGTCTGGGCTTTCTATTCTGTTCCATTGGTCTATATGTCTGCTTTTGTGCCAGTACCATGCTGCCTTGGTGATCACTGCTTTGTCATATAGCTTGAAGTCAGGCAACGTGATGCCCCCAGCTTTGTTTTTCTTTTTCAACATTTCCTTGGCGATTCAGGGTCTTTTCTGATTCCATACAAATTTGAGGATTGTTTTTAGCAGCACTTTGAAAAATGTCATTGGAATTTTGGAATTTTGATTGGGATGGCGTTGAAGGTATAGATTGCTCTGGGCAGCATAGACATTTTAACAACGTTTATTTTTCCGATCCATGAGCATGGAATGTTTTTCCATCTTTTTGTGTCTTCTTCAGTTTCTTTTATGAGTGTTCTGTGGTTCCCTGAGTATAGATCCTTTAATCTTTGGTTAGGTTTATTCCGAGGTATCTTATGGTTTTTGGTGCTATTGTAAATGGAATCATTTCTCTAATTTCTCTTTCTACAGTTGCGTTGTTAGTGTATAAGAAAGCAACTGATTTCTGTGCATTGATTTTGTATCCTGCCACATTACTGATTTGCTGTATGAGTTCTAGTAATTTGGGGGTGGAGTCTTTTGGGTTTTCCACATAAAGTATCACGTCATCTGCGAAAAGAGAGAGTGTGACTTCTTCTTTGCCAATTTGAATACGTTTTATTTCTTTTTGTTGTCTGATTGCTGTTGCTAGGACTTCTAGTACTATGTTGAACAATAGTGGCGAGAGTGGGCATCCTTGTCGTGTTCCTGATCTTAAGGGAAAGGCTCCCAGCTTTTCCCCATTGAGGAGGATATTCACTGTGGATTTTTCATAGATGGATTTTATGATAGAGGAATGTTCCCTCTCTCCCTATACTCTGAAGAGTTTTAATCAGGAAAGGATGCTGTATTTTGTCAAATGCTTTTTCTGCATCAATTGAGTGGACCATATGGTTCTTCTCTCGCCCCTTATTAATGTGTTCTATCACATTGATTGATTTGCGAATGTTGAACCACCCTTGCATCCCAGGGATAAATCCCACTTGGTCGTGGTGGATGATTCTTTTAATGTATTGTTGGATCCTGCTAGCGAGGATTTTGATGAGGATTTTGGAATCCATATTCATCAGGGATATTGGTCTGAAATTCTCCTTTTTGATGGGGTCCTTGCCTGGTTTGGGGATTAAGGTAATGCTGGCCTCATAGAATGAGTCTGGAAGCTTTCCTTCTGTTTCTATTTTTTGAAACAGCTTCAGGAGAATAGGTTTTATTTCTTCTTTGAATGTTTGTTAGAATTCCCCAGGGAATCCATCAGGCCCTGGACTCTTATTTTTTGGGAGGGGTTTTTGATCACTGCTTCAATCTCCTTACTGGTTATTGGCCTGTTCAGGTTGTCAGTTTCTTCCTGTTTCAGTCTTGGGAGTTTATAGGTTTCCAGGAAGGCATCCATTTCTTCCAGGTTGCTCAGCTTATTAGCATATAGTTGTTGCTAATAATTTCTAATCATTGTTTCTATTTCTTTGGTGTTAGTTGTGATCTCTCCCCTTTCATTCATAATTTTATTAATTTGGGTCCTTTCTCTTTTCTTTTGGATAAGTCCGGTGAGTGGTTTATTGATCTTATTAATTCTTTCAAAGAACCAGCTTCTAGTTTTGTTGATCTGATCTACTGTGTTTCTGGTTTCTATTGATCTCTGCTCTAATCTCAATTATTTATGTTCTAGTGCATGGCTTAGGCATCGTTTGTTGCTTTTTCTCTAGTTCTTTAAGGTGTGGAGTCAGTTGGTGAATTCAGGATTTTCTATTTTTTTGAGTGAGGCTTGGATGGCTATGGATTTCCCCCTTAGGACTGCCTTTGCATTATCCCGTAGGTTTTGGACTGATGTGTTTTTGTTCTCATTGATTTCCATGAATTGTTTAAGATCTTTGATTTCCTGGTTGACCCAAACATTCTTGAGCAGAGTGGACTTTAGGTTCCAAGTGTTTGAATTTCTGCCAAATTTTTTATTGTGATTGAGTTCCAGTTTTAAAGCATTGTGGTCTGAGAATATGCAGGGAATAATCTCAAACTTTTGGTATCGGTTGAGACCTGATTTGTGACCCAGTATGTGGTCTATTCTGGAGAAAGTTCCATGTGTGCTCGAGAAGAATGAGTATTCTGTTGTTTTAGGGTGGAATGTTCTGTATATATCTATGAGGTCCATCTGTCCAGTGTGTCACTCAAAGCTCTTGTTTCTTTGTTGATTTTCTGCTTAGATGATCTGTCTATTGCTGAGAGGGGAGTATTGAGGTCTCCTACAATTAATGTATTATTATCAATAGGACTCTTCATTTTGGTTAACAGTTAGCTTATGTAGGTGGCTGCTCTTATGTTGGGGGCGTAGATATTTACAATCATTAGATCTTCTTGTTCGATAGACCCTTTAAGAATGATATAGTTTCATTCTGTGTCTCTAACTACAGTCTTTAGCTTAACATCTAATTTGTCTGATATAAGAATTGCTACCCCAGCTTTCTTTTGAGGTCCGCTGGCATGCAAGATGGATCTCCATCTCTTCACTTTCAGTCTGGATGTATACTTCGGTTCAGTATGAGTCTCTTGTAGACAGCATATGGATGAGTCCTGTCTTTTTATCCAATCTGCAAGCCTAAGCCGTTTTATGGGAGCATTTAGGCCATTCACGTTGAGAGTGATTATTGAAAGCATTGAATTAATTGTCATCATGTTGCCTGTAAAGATGTTGTTTTTATAGATTGTCCCTGTAAATTTCTTTTCTATATCACTCTTGTGGTCTTTCTCCTTTTATAGAACCCCCCTTAATATTCTTGCAGGGCCAGCTTAGTGGTCACATATTCTTTCAGTTCCTGCCGGTCTTGGAAGCTCTGCATCTCTCCATCCATTCTAAATGACAGCCTTGCTGGATAAAGTATTCTTGGCTGCATGTTCTTCTGGTTTAGTACCCTGAATACATCTTGCCAGGCCTTTCTGGCTTGCCAGGTCTCTGTGGATAGGTCTGACATTATTCTGATGTTCCTCCCTCTGTACATAAGGAATCTCTTCTCCCTAACTACCCTTAAGATGGTTTTCTTGGTTCTAAAATTTGCGAGTTTTACTATTACATGCTGGGGTGTTGGCCCATTTTCCTTGATCTTGGGGGGGGTCCTCTCTGCCTCTAGGACATGAATATTTGTTTCATTCCCCAGATTAGGGATGTTCTCAGCTACGATTTGCTCAAATATATCTTCTAGTCCTTGCTCTCTCTCCACCCCCTCAGGGATTCCAATAATTCTGACATTTGAACATTTCATGGTGCCACTTATTTATCTGAATCTATTTTCATGGATTCTGAGTTGTTTTTCCCTCTCCTCCTCTTTTCCCTTTTTATTTATTAAATGGTCTTTAAGGTCACTTATTCATTCTTTTGCCTTACTTACCTTAGCTGTTAGATTATCTAGATTAGATTGGATCTCATTGATAGCATTTTTAAGTTCTGCCAACTGAGCTTTCATCTCTGCCCTTAGAGACTCTATGTTGCCATTAATTGATTTCTCCATTCTAGCTATTGTCTTCACAATTGCTAGCCTGAATTCCAT